ACTAATAATTTCACACCTGAATTCAGAGGCTAGGAAGAGAACAGGAACGGAGAGAAGGCGGCACTGGTCAGGCTGCTGGGTAGACTACCAGCGTAAACTTGTTTCTGAGAAATATTATGGTGCTGTGTGTTAAAATAGCTGTGCAGCTATTTTATATCTGTGGTGTAAATGTGCGAAACAACCTGCAAGGGTGTGTTGCTCTGCAAGCGGAGAGGATCCAGGAGCTTAGCAGGATGAAGAGACAGACAGAACAGTTCCCTCACTGATGAGGGCCCAGCCTAACAGTACCTGAGTCTGGTGACAATAAGGCTGAGGCAGCTGCAATCCAGCAGTCACCAGGTGAATCCACAGTGACAAGGCAAGACTGAGAAATTCAGTCCGCAGAGGACAGTCTGGGTCAGCAGGGTACATGGCCAGGCATACTTGCTTAAAAGCTGCTTCTGAGTGCTTTTTAACACAGTTGTTTATGGGGAGCCTTCACTGAGACTGTTGTGTGTTTTTTCTGAGAAACCTTCAAGGCCAGCAGGAACTTCTCAAACAGCTTACTCATACCAGATGTGGCCTTCAGAGCAGAGAGCCAAACTCCTGCTGACAGATGTGTGGAATATGTGCAATCAACCCCAGCATTTTTCTGGACTCTCACAGTGACATTTAAATTTGGGTTGCCGTTTGTGCTGAGAACTGAACCTGGGACAGACGTTTTGGTATGAACCATCTTAGAGTGTTCAAGATGTCCTTGCCACAGCAAAGATTAATTGCTGTGTCCTCCTGCTGTTCTTGTCTGAAACCTTTCAGCTCAACTACAGAGACTGCTGATCAAAACCCACACTGGGTAGCAGTTTACGTTTTCTGGAGATGGGAAAGATGAATGGAAGCCTCATAGACTTTTAAAAACTTTTTTGTAAGGTTTTGGGGGGCTATTTTTGTTTCTGATTCTTGTCTATGTTCTGTCTGAAGGGTGTCAGAGTTTTACTAAGGTTCTGGAAACATTTACAACCTGCAGAGTCATGCTGGGAGAGATCCTGTCTGCCTATGAGTTCATGGATGAGAAGTGCATGGAATTAGTTAAGAGACATCTCAAGCTCTCCAGCCCAGTGACAGGTAACAGTCTCCTTCATGCTGTAGAAAGGCGTTGTACTGCTTAGAGATTTTTAGCCTATTTTTTTTATATACGTATGACCATGAGTGTATGGGCATCTCTGATAATTTTTGTACCTAGTATTCAATTTCAAACATGTTTGGTGGAAGTCTTTAAAGATAAGCCATTCTAATTCTACTTGTTCCCACAAAACTGCTAGCTTTCTGAATAGCTGGGTAAAGGATAGAACAGGTAGAATAGGTAAAACAGATAGAATAGGTAAATGATAGAACGTGCAAGTGAAGTGCCATGCAGATAAAAGATTGCCACTTGAACTGCCCTTCTGCGTGACATCAGAGAATTTGGGCAGTAGAGCAACCTCATGAAATGTGCCAAACTTGGGAAGAGCTCCAGAACCTGTGTGAAATTCATGTGCTTTTCTCCTGGAGCATCTGCTTATTCTGTTCTCCCTTACTTTTAGACAGCCCCTTTTATGTTTTAATTGAAACTTCGGGCTCCAACTCAACCCATGATGAAGAAAAATTGAGCAACTTCCTAGAACAGGCCATGACTTCTGGTTTGGTCACTGATGGAACTGTCGCAATGGATGATCAGAAAATAAAGGCAAGTCGTTGTTTCCTTTTGCACAAATCTCTTTGACATGATTCTCTACTTGGATGTGTATTTTTAGTAGAGAAGTGTTCAGACCAGTGTTTGGTATAAATATCCCTGAGTGGTCTGGTAATTTATTTGGCATATTGATTAAAAATGCTAAGAGAGAATACTTACCACTGTTGATTCTTCACAGAAGGCCTGAGTATTTGGGATTTCAGTGGATGTTTCCCCTCTTAAAAAGATCAGAATAACAAAGTATATCTTTCAGTAGTTGCTGGGGTAGGACCCAAACTGCCTGAAAACTATCAAAACCAGGAGCTGAGTTGTCAGTGAAGCCAGAAGTGAGCAAAGTCCTTTAGGTCACTGTTGATGATATATTAGAGACAAGAGACTGTGGTCCTAGAGAACAAGATGGGCATGTAGTGTCTCGGTGAGGAGGGCAGCAGTTTGTGTAGTGATTTGTAGCTACCCAGTGAACATGAGTCTTTTACACCGACCTATGTTTGTTCCAGCCCCAGTTCCCAAACCGACCCTTGCAGATGAGTAGAGGAGACACACCATCACTTTTTGGGAAACCCAGAACAGCTTTGGAGAAAATACCCATGCCTGTGTTCTCTCCATCTGGGGTGTTGTCAGGCTTGAAGAGTTGCTGTAGCACTTGACTGTGTGATGCTGCCAAGAAGGCATTATTACTAGCTTCCAAGAGGCAGAGGATATTGAGGGGAATCAGGCGTGGGTGTTTTATGCAAAGAATCAAGACCCTTTTTCTGTCCATACCACAAAGCATGGAACCCAAAAGGTACCTGGTTTATTTGAATTTCTTTGATTCATCAGACACTGTGGGGCCTGCGAGAGAGGATCACAGAGGCTCTAGCTCATGATGGCTACGTATACAAATATGACATCTCTCTCCCTGTGGAAAAGCTATATGATCTTGTGACTGACATGAGGGCTCGGCTGGGCCGGAGTGCCAAAAACGTGGTGGGCTACGGCCACTTGGGTAAGTGTGGGTGCTGGGGAAGGAGATGATTGCTGTTTTGTGTTCCAGATTTTGCTGTGCAACTTCCTAGTAGTTTTAAAGGTTGGTTTTAGATTAGTGAGAGGCATAGATTAAATAGTCTAGAGCTGTCAGGAAAAGAGGATGCGTAAGGATCATTGTGTTTGAATTTCACTGCTTTCAGACTGTTTTCCATATATAAATGACAAGTTGCTAGCCAGCCAGCCACTGAACTGTCATTTGTATCTTCTTGCTCTGTACTTTCTGTTTTAATATGTAGGTTGTTTTAACTGGACCATCAATTTGATTAATGCATCTAGACATGTTTGGTAGATAAATACTGTCTTGTCCAAAGTGATCAGTCATATTGGAAATCGATTTTGTCCAAGCCATTAATCCTGCAAAAGAGAGTGACAAAGGTAGCACAGAAAGGCCAGTACATTTGTCAAAATGCTTTGAAACTAATTTGATTTTACAAGTAGGTAAACTGGTATCTTAGCAGAACTATTCTGTTCAAATAAATAAAAATAAAACCAAAACAAAACACTTTTCAGCATGTTTGGTTTGAGATGATTTGAAAGACAGGAAGAGACAAGTCTGCATAACAAAGGCTACTTCTGGTAGCTCTTGGTACTGTGAGGGTGTGCTGGGATGAAGAAACAGGTTCTGGAATGAGACTAAGTTGTCTTTATCTTTGTTTTGTCTTCTGAATAACCAGCAACTATGTGCTTAAACAAATACTGTCACAGGCAAGTGCAAAAGGAGAAAATGTTCTGCTTCCTTTGTTTCTTTTGACATAGTGCCAAAGTGCATTTAGAACATTGCACAAATATAATAAGGAGAGAGAAAGCAATGAAGGGCCATATTAAAATGTAATGATCATTATGAAATACCGTCAGGGAAGTCTTTGGCATGCCACTGCGGTATTGGGACACTAATTAATGCAGCAGAGTTGTTTGAGTCCTGAAATCACAAGAGTGAGAATTTGAAAGTAGCTTAACTCAGAACACTTCTTCAAATATTGTACTGAAAGCATGGAAAAACAAAGATCCTATTTGAATTATTTTGTGCATAGAGAGGCTGATGTTTGTAGAAGGACAGTGAGCTGCTTTTTTGCAATTTGTAGGCTAACAAGGGCACCATTGTTCAAGTATGTGGAGGAGACAGTAATGAGTCTCAGTTGCAGGGACGCTGAGTTTTACTTCCAGACCCACTTCTGCAGTGTTTTCTTGCAGGAGATGGAAACTTGCACTTGAACATCACGGCGGAGTCCTACAGCCATTCCCTGCTGGATGCCATTGAGCCATTCGTGTATGAGTGGAGCGCAAGATACAAGGGCAGCATCAGTGCAGAGCACGGACTGGGGTTCAAGAAAAAGCAGTTCATTCAGTACAGCAAACCAAATGAGGCAGTCTTGCTAATGCAGCGTTTCAAAGCCATGTTAGACCCCAAAGGGATCCTCAATCCGTACAAAGTGCTGCCGTGAGAGCAGCACGCACTGAAAGGTGAGCAGATACCGTCACGTGAGGATGGCATCTCTAGCTCAGTAACCACGCTTCAGCCATAAACAGACTGATGGATCAAACAAACACATGAAATGCTCCTTTTTAAAATTTCTTTAATGTGAAGAAGCAAGTAAAGGAATGTTTCTGCTTTTAAGGGGTGCCTGATTTTTCTGAAAAAGAGCACATTACTGGTTTTGACCATGTGGGTTTCCTATTTAATCTGAACACTGAAACCAAGCATGCCGATACCATGTGTTTATATTCCAGCTCTCTTGCCCCTTCGCTTGCTCTGTTGTATTAGTGAAGACACCAGCCGGAGGAGGAGTTTTCTCACTTAGGCTGCACAAGTGAAGCACCAGAGGCTCAGGAAAAGAACATATGGATGCTATACCACCATCTGCAAGTGAAAATGTTGCTCTTCCTCGCTTATTTTGATCAAATAGCCACAACAGCCTCAGGTTATGGCCTCTTCAGTGATACCGTTTTCAGGCTCTCCTCAACAGGCATCAGTATTGTCACATGTAGAGCATGCAGGTACAGCTTTGCGGTCCCAGAAGAACTGGCCAGAGAAGAGATGGTGCGTGGAGGCCTAACTTCTGGATAGTATCCACTGGAAGGGAAATGCCAGCAGCCAGACCAAGGAAAGGTGTCCCAGGACATCTCCCTGGGAGGCTCAGGCTTTAGACATGCTATAATTTCTTGCTTCCTTGTCTTCCAGTTTAACCTCAAGGTCCCAGTTTTCTCTTGCAGAGGGCAAGAGCCATTATCCTCATCATTTACAGTGATATCTATATCCCTCCAAACCAGCAGACTCGATTAGGCTGGGTGATGACAGTGGTGTTAAAATCATACACAGCCTGCTACGTACTTTTGTGAGAGACTGAAAAGTTGATGCATGTTAACTTCGCAGACATTGTAGCCGAACAAGTTCTGTGCAGCTGGGCCGTGGGGGGTGGGGTTGACTCTGCTTCTGCATAGCAACTCTGGGCTGCAAATGAGGGGCGGGCTGGCGCAGGGGGTGTGCTGGAGGTGCCAGTTCTGGTAGGCTGAGCAGGAAAGGTCACACAGTTTATTTGAGGAAGGGGACTTATGACCATCTGAAAGACCTCCCAATAGCCCAGACCCATTTCCAGAACATTAGAGGGAAACCGCTGCACACGTCCAGTGATGCTGCTCCTCTGGGAAGGGACCCTGAGCACACGAAGAATAGAAAAGGCAAAAAAGCCATGAATTCGTGTGCACCCACCACTGATAACACCTGGACCAGACCTGCAAGACATCACTGGAGCCAAGGATGGTGATCTCAATCTCTCTTCCCCCTTCTCTCTTAACCCTTTGTCTTTCCTTTTATCCCGTTAGAAGATTCTAAATAGTTACCTCTTGTAAGGTGCTATATGTTACAAGTTTGGGATCATTATACATCAGGGTTGGATGATGCCCATTGTGAGGTTTTGGATATGTTATATAGAGTTCGGATAATGGACGTGATAGCGTATTAAAGTTGCGGCGGACAATTTCTCCCCTTCCTCTTTTGCCCTTCAGTCAGCTGTAATGATAGCTAAAGCTTTTCTCTTCCAAAATAAAGCATACATAACCTTATTTTTTATGCTCAGTAAGTGGTATAATTGGTTGTTTGGTGTCATTTCACCTTAATTTGCTATGAGGAGGTTGTGGACTCTCCTTCTCTGGAGGCATTCAAAACCTGCCTGGATGCGTTCCTGTGTGACCTAGTGTAGGTGATCCTGCTCTGGCAGGGGGGCTGGACTAGATGATCTTTTGAGGTCCCTTCCAGCCCCTGACATTCTGTGATTCTGTCATCTTGATTTCACCTCCCATACTGCCCAGGGTAGTGTGCCAACCAGGTCGTGACAACTGTGCATGTAGTGTGTTAAGACAAAAGAGATTTCTGTGCATGCCAGTGCTAATTTATTTTCCCAAGGTGTGCCCCCTTGCCCTGGCAGAGGTGGTCCTGGGCCTCCCAGGCCAATGGGGCAGACTGGTGCCCACATCCAGTGCCCTGCTTGAGTTGGTGAGGCCACAGAACGATTTGGCAGCTGTTACCCAAAAGCAGCTTGGAAGATCTGTCAATAGGCAGGAATAAAAGAGTAGAAAAACAAAATCAGCCTGTCTGGCATTCAGGAGGAGCGTCACTCGTAGCATCCTTCTGGACAAGTTGTCCGAGTGTGAGTTGAGTGGGATCATGATGTGGTGGGTGAAGAACTGCCTGGAAGGCAGACCTCAAAAGGGTTGTAGTGAATGGGGCCAGCAATATTACACAGAGCTCAATCCTAGGGCCAATGCTGTCCATTTTTTTTTGTCAGTGGTCTGGATGCTGGAGTCAAATGTACCATTAGTGAGTTTTCTCATGATACTAAGCTGGGAGCACTGCTGACTCTCTTAGGGAACAAGAGGTCTTGCAAAAGGATCTATATAGATTGGAGCATTGGGCAGTCATCAGTGGTATGAAAATTAACAAGTGCTGAGTTCTGTGCCTGGTACAGAATAATGCTGGACAACAAGTATAGATTGGGAGAGGAATGGCTGGAGAGCAGCCCTGCAGAAAGGGGATCTGGGGCTGCTGATGAGCAGCATCTCAATAGGAGCCACCCGTGCATGCTGGCAGCCAAGAGGGCAAACCCTGTCCTGGGGTGCATCAATCACAGCATGGACCAGCTGGTCAAAAGAGGGAATTATTCCGCTGCACTCAGCATTGGTGCGGCCTCACACTGAGCACTGTGTGCAGTTCTGGGCCCCGCCGTTTGGGAAGAATGTGAAGGTCTTTAAATGTGTCCAGGGGAGGGCAACAAAGCTGGTGGTAGGGCTGGAAGGCATGTCCTGTGAGGACCAGCAAAGGACTTTGGGCTTGTCTCATTTGGAGAAAAGGAGGCTGAGAGGTGACCTCATTGCTCTACAGCTTCCTGAGGAGGGGATGTGGAGAGGGAGGTGCAGATCCCTTCTCCAGGGATCTCCCTGGGATCCAAGGACAGGATGTGTGGGAATGATTCAAAACTGCGCCAGAGAAGGTTTAGGCTGGACATTAGGAATCATCTCTTTACCATGAGTGCCATCAAGTGCTACGACAGGTTTCCTGGAGAGGTGGTGGATGCTCCAAGCCTATTAGTGTTTAAGAGGCATTTGGGCTATGCACTTAATAGTATGCTTTAACTTTTGGTCAGCCCTGAAGTTGACGGGTCATCAGCTGGACTAGATGTTTTTAGGTCCCTTCCAACTGGAATATTCTAAGATGGGTAGTTTTGTCATTTAGTTGGTTGTTTGTTGATTTTTTTCTACAGTCTGTCTCCGTTTTGAGATGACAGGAGAGATTGTCATTTACAGTTTAGTGCACAAAACCATGTTGTCACCCTTCTGTTACCAGAGAGCAGGCCAAGAGTGAGTCGTCTTCTGGTTTACTGGTTTGCTAGTCACATGTCTATTTACCAATACGTGTCACTCTCTTAACACAGGCTCTGTTGTATCCAAATGAAGCAAATCCCTGGGAAAAGCCCAGGGATTTGCCCAAGGTAAAGAGCCTCACTAACGTGACTACCTTTTACAACACAGTAACAGTTTTTGTTGACGTGGGGAGAGCAGTGGATGTTGTTTGCCTGGATGTCAGCGAAGCATTCAACAGTTTCCCACAGCCTTCTGCAGGACAAGCTGGCAAGACACAGACTGGATAAATGGTCTGCAGGATGGGTAGGAAACTAGCTCATGAGCTGTGCTCGGAGGGTGGTGATCAGCAGCTTTTACTCAGGTTTACTCGTTTGGGAGGCCTCACCAGAGTAAGACTAGGAGAGGTGGTTGTCTTACCCACTAGCTGTCTTCTCCACTAGCTGCTTTTCAGTGATTTCTGCTATTCCAGAGTACAGTGAAATAGGTGTTCCATCCAAAGCTGCGTGGGAAGAAAATCATCCTACAGTCTTTTTTTTTTTTCCTTCTGTTTTTCACCAGAACACCATCTCTGCAAGGCTGCAGGCTGTTGGATTGCATTAAGGATGATGGCTTACGCTTAGCACCACTGCAACACCTTTCATGATACAATTCTAAGTTCACAACTCTCTCAACTTGGCTGCACAGATGTTTTTACCAGAAATGCCTCCATAGGTTACACAACCTGCAGTGCTAGTATCTAGGCATGCCCTCTGCTCTGTTTCCTTCAATTCCTCTTTCTGCTAGCAGCGCGCTCACTTCATTCCTCAGGACTGCTTGGGGAGGAGATGATCATCTTCTGGGGTTAAGCAGAATGAATGATGCCATCATTAGCAAAGAGAAGACAGAATGTGAAACACAATCAGCCTGTGCTGCTTGTGTATTAGATGATGCAAAAAAAAGTCCATGATGTTAGAGAAGAAATTTATGGGATCACTTTCTGTAAAGTTAAGCTGATGCAGCTCGTTCTTTCCGGATCAGACTGTTTATATCTCTGCCTTTTTCCTATGCCATTCTTTCTTTTTTTTTTTTTTTCTCCCCTCTCCCAAAACACTGACCATAATTGTTTAAAATACAGGCTTTACACATGAATGGTTCTTTTTGGGAAGCAGAACTTTCCATACTGCTTTTTTTCAGCTACATATGGAGAGAGTGCTAGGGAGGGAGTCAGGGCTGACAGACATCCCAGTGTTGTGGCCAGGGAAATTCTGGCACAGCTACATTTAAGACATCTTTACACATGAAGATCCTTAAACTCAATGTAAGTTTACCATTTCAGCTAAACAATAGAGCTGTTGCTGTAAGGGAACAGAAGGGAGGTGCTATCATAGGGTTATTTTATATTATCTATCCTATTAAACACCAGTATTATCTTTCTTTTCAACATTCTCAATGATCTTTTCAAATACGGTTTCACTGTTGTATATGTGCGGGAGAGACAGGGTGGTTGCGTATATGTGTGTGGTGGGGTATTTGTGGTAGTAATTTCATGTCCAAAATTCTTTTTTTTTCTGGGACAAACTTAAATATTAGAACGATGTGAACGCACAAT